AAGGACTTTGCATCATAACAAGAATAATTTTCATTGTATATAATAGCTTTCAAACCATGGTGAGTTTCCCACTAGCATAAGCAAATGGGTAGGAAAACATGGGTTATCAGAACAGATGCAAATTGGAGTAAGACTTTGAAGGTCTGTGGTCCCATGTGAAAAACAGCATATCCTACTTTGCATGTCTACCTAGGACATGTCTCTCACCATAGTACCAATAAAAAAAAATTATGGCTAAGCCAGGTGCCAATGACTCATGCCTGTAAACCTAGTTCCTCAGGAGACTGAGATCTGAGGCTCACAGTTTGAAGTCATCCCAGGCAGGAGACTCTTATATTCAGTAAACTACTCAGAAAAAGCCAGAAGTAATGTTGTAGCTCAAGTGGTAGAGTGATAGCCTTGAGCATAAAAACTCAGGAATAGTTGGGTGCCGGTGGCTCTCGCCTGTAATCCCAGCTACTAAGGAGGCTGAGAACTGAGGACCAGTGTTCAAAGCCAGACTGGGCAGGAAAGGCCGTGAGACACTTATCTCCAATAAACCACTAGAAAACCGGAAGTGGCGCTGTGGCCTAAGCGGTAGAGCACTTTCCTTGAGCTGAAGAGCTGAGGGACATTGCCCAGGCCCAGAGTTCAAGCCCCACAACCAACAAAAATAAGGTACCATGTGATTTTTGTGTTGCTTTGTGTATCAGTCTCCCACTGTATAACCCCTGTTTTCACTGTATTTGATGTTGGTGTAATTTATGGAGGGGAAGGGAAAAAAACAAATTGTTTAAATAGGGACACAAGCTGACCCATTGCAACAATGAGATATACAAGATGCTATGTTGAAACCTTGGTTGTGGGGGAGTGTAGTTGTGGAGATGGGAGGGAAGGGATGGTAGGGGAAAAACAAAGGAGGAGGCAACAATGCTTGATAAGAAATGTACTTATTACCTTGCTCATGTAACTGTAACCCATCTGTACAGTATTTTCACAATAAAAACTTATTTTTTTAAAAAAGCTCAGGAATAGCACTCAGTCCCTGAGTTCAAGTGCAGGACTGGCAAAAACAAAAAATCATGGCTAACTGGTTAAAATTTAAAGATAAGGCCAGTGCATCCTGATTCTAGCAATGGCTATTTTCTCATGAGCCATAAGAGTCAAGAGCAGGGGGACAGAAATCACATTGTCCAGCCAACCACATAAGACCAGGCATCCTGACTGGGTCATTTTACAGAATAGGAATCACATATTCTTGTACCTCAAACAAAGGAGGCAAGGAGGAAAGGAAGAGGGAGACACATGGAGAGAAAGACAGAGAGAGAGACAGATGGAGAGGGAGAGAGGAAAGACACAGATGTAACAAAGATACAGAGAATAGGCAAAAAAAGTAGAAGAGAACAAAGGCACACGGATCTAAAAACACAAAACTACAAAACTGGAAGAGCCCAATTTCTAATATATCTCAAGTTTACATCTAGGTGTGCCTGAAAAGAATTTCTGTGAGTGGTAAGTTAGCTTGCAAATCTTAGCAAAAAGCAAGCAAATTTAAAGAGTCACAGAGGTAGAAGCCCAGAAGAACACAGCTCACATCTTTGTTGGGGGGGGGGGGAGGTAGTCAAGCTGATACCCTGTCCTTGAGGGTGCTCAGCCCTAACTCTGGAGCGGGGACTTTGCTGCTATCAGAGTTGCTCCAAATTTTCCATTCAGGAACAAATGGGGAATTGTAAAGGGTGAGAAATTAATTTAAGAAAATGAGTCAGATAATTTAATCTAAATGTCTCTCCATCTCATCACCATGCTTTATGGTCCTGGTGATGCCTCTGGGTTTCTTGACCACCTTTGTTCACCACTGAAAACATGACAAGACACAAAAGATATGAAAAAATGAATTACCCACATTTTAAGGCACAAGCTGAAGAATTTCTAATAAAACTTGGTCTCCTGCAACAGTTTGAACTTCCTACCTCTGCAATATGAAATATACATTTTATATGCAATTTCCATGCCAATTTACAGGCATTAAATTAGGAACAGGAGTAGATGACGGACCAGGGGTCAATCTAATGTAACATTATGGAGTTCAAAGTGTGTCTCTTGTTTTTGAAAAACTTCATGTGAATGTCTGCAAAATTTAATGCAAGTCAATCTTAATTTACTATGCTTTTTGGGTCTTTCATAAAATAGCATGACTATGCTATTTCTATATTCTGGCTATAAAATTCTCCATAAATTGTTCACTACAATTTTTAATATATAAAATGATTCAGTTCTTACAGGGGTGCTTAAAAGTACTCCAGGTAGAGAAACAGCTTTTGGCCATTCCTTGGCATATTCTAATGATTGTGTGTCTTATGTACAGGATGAGTTAAAAAGTTTCTAGAATGTTCTGTCTCTAGCATACCTCTCTATAATTTTGCCATCATGAGTCTAGATTAACTTTGGCTAGACTTTGCTGAACTACACATTGTCATACTTTGTAAGTATATAAGTAACTATACATTGTCTTACACACTATGTTAGAATTCTCATTTGGGTGGTAGTAAAAAAAAATCTGTGGCAAACTAATTTTGTGCTTTGATGAGCTACAGCTCAGCTCAATGAGCAGAAGCAGTTGCATTTTTGATTGATGGAGAGAAGGGAAGAATGATCTTTGGGAAGCTGTTTTCAGTGGGTGGTTGACAGGTCAATTAAATATCTAGGCAGCAAAGTCAAGTGAAGCCAGTTCTTTCTAATACTTGGTTTTACTGAGTGAAAGTCTAGAAAGTTAGAGGACCCTAAAAGTTGGAAGAATTGTGGTGGCTGCACAGTGATTTCTTGGAAGATTGCCTATAGTTCTTGTGTGTGTGTGTGTGTGTGTGTGTGTGTGTGTGTGTGTGTGTGTGTGTGTGTTTGGATATATGTATGTGTCCTTGTTTCTTGCAGGACAGTCACCTCCTACAGACCACCCATCTATCTCACCCACTGAGCATGTATTAGGGCTGTCTCACAGTTGTGAGTTTAAAATCATTGGGGCTTTTGCTGTAGTATTGACTTGTGGCTAAGAGAGATCTGTAGTGTGTTATTTGGATTTAGTATCCTCAAATGCATTATTTTCCCACATTCCAAGAGGATTTCTTCTCTGACCCCCAAAAAAGGAGTGATAAGAAAGCAAGTTCCAATGTTTTTATTCAAACATAATCCCTAATATCCTTTCTGCCCTCAACCTCCTCACCAACAGTTGTTTTTAAAAGGAAAATATCAGTTAAGACAGACTATGTCACTGGAGGAACCTTTAAAGAGTCATTTGGCCTCCTGGCAGGACCACACTCAGAGTAGAGATCACAATCTACTCCTTTCTTTAAAAATCTCCGAAGTGTTTTTGAGATGGTTAATAATAATAAACGAGATAAGGGAATCCAGGTGGCATGGTCATGTGGGCACCAACTGTGGTTCCTTCTCCATTAGGTGTCAACCAATTTGCAGAACAAAGCTGACCATGTTTTATAAACCATATTCTGAGGAGCAAAGTATTATGTACCTTTCAGAACATGTGCTTCTATTTATTGTCTGTCAGCATGCTAGGGCACCTGTGTTAGTTTTATACCACTGCATGCAGACTCTTTGACGAGTTGAATGCTGGTAAGTTCCAGCTGTTATTCACCTGTGGGAACATGGGAAAAATACCTCCTTTGAATTTTAAATCTAAGGCACTAAAATTGTTTTCAAAACAATACATTTGCAATACTATATTAATTCTGTTTATTAAATGCCTAATAAAAACGAAAAATGCACTCTGTGTGTGGTGTGTCCCTGTGTGTGTGTGTGTGTGTGTGCGTGTGTGTGTGTGTGTGTGTGTGTGTGTGTGTGTGTGCTGGTAATGGAGCTTGAACTCAGGGCCTAAGTACTATCCATTAGCTTTTTCAATCAAGGCTGATGCTCTACCACTTAGCCACACCTCTACTTTTGTTAGTTAATTGGAGGCAAGACTCAATTTGCCTGCCCAGACTGGCTTCTCACTGGGATTTTCATCTCTCAGAGTCCTGAGTAGCTAGGATTACAGGCATGAGTCATCAGCACTATATTAGTGGCCCTTCTCAAGAATAACTGTAGCACTAATTAAGAATGAGCAAACAGGGCTAGAGGGTATGTGGCTCAGTGGCAAAGAGCTTGCCTAACATGGGTTCTGTCTTCCTACTAAAAAGAAAAAAGTACATTTTAATAAAGGAGCAAATGTACTTATAAGGCTAATACAATGCTGGTTGTGGTTACTGTGAGAAAACAGAATGAGAAGTGGTTCTCTGATGGAAATAATGCAAGGGAAATGGTGACCACCCACATTGAATGACAATGTCTTAGTTTTTTAAAATTAAAGGGAAAGAGTTTTAGAGTAGAGAATAAGGGTGTGGGAGTCACTCAGTATTAAAGTACTTTCCTAGCATGTATGAGACTCTGAGTTCAAATACTGTAATACCCCCCCCACATACATATAAACATACACACATACACACAAGGGGGGAAGGGAAGAGAGAGAGAGAGAGACAGACAGAGAGAGACAGAGACAGACAGAGAGAGAGAGAGTGAGAGAGAGAGAACCAGAATAGCATTTTCTTGAGAATGAGTGTACATAACTGCTGGTATTAAATTTTACTACTGCTCTGTACAGCATACATCAGTAATCTAATGCTTCAGTCTATAAAACATGATCTTTTTTACTACTAAAATAGGACTCCAACTAATTGCATAGCTTTCAGACATGTAATGTTGATTATTACCTGCCTGGCACTGTGCTAGATCATGAACATGTATTATCGAACTGAATATTGACAATAACCCTATGAGGAGCTGCCAGTCAGCATCTTCAACTGGACAAATAACTACATTTTAAAAGAAGTTGTGACTCAGAAGGAGCTGGGGCTCATGTTGTAGAATACTACCTTGGGTGAAGAGTTAAGAAATAGTGCCCACCTTGAGTTCAAGCCCCAGTTCCCTGCCCCCCGGCCGCCCCCCCCCCCCGAAAAAACATGGAGGAGAAAAAAGTGTTGCATGGAAAGAGATGTTAGCATTCCTCTTGACAAGGATGGAAGAGACACTTGGGCCTGACAACACACAGATAGTTAAGGCATTGCTACATAATTTGTGGCATCTAACTATAGTCTTCTGAACAGCCATATTAAAAATTCCTGAAAATTTGGATATGTAAAAGAAAAAAAAGGAAGTTGAGTACAAGTGTGGCCAGCTTAGGGATTATTATTAGGAAGGTTGGACTTAAGCTTAACTAGCGGCTTTTCCTAATCATCTAGTGCCATAGCTCAACTTTATAGTGAAAAAGTATCTGACAGGATAGAGTCTAAAACACTGTGTGTGTGTGTGTGTGTGTGTGCAGTACTTTCTTTTACTTATATACATGATAATCATATATACTTATGGGGGACTAAATTACTTTTGATGCATATATACAACATGTCGTGATCAAATCAGATTTTAGTCTTGCCATCATCTCACATATCTTCCATTTATTTGTGGTAAGACTACTCAAAACCTTTTTTTAGCTTTTCAAAAATATACATTATTGTGAACTACAGTAACTCTACTATGCAGTAAAGACCAGAAGTTAGTCCTTTTGTCTAAACACAATTTTGTCCCCAACCCCTCTACATTCTCATTCTACCCAGCTGCAGCAGATCTGGTGATCTGGTGATGGCCATTCTACTCTGTATTTTTATTGCACATCAGAGAGAATGAGTGATATCTGCCTCTGTGTGTCAGTCAGTGAGCACAATTGCCTGCAAGTCCATTGATGTTGTTACAATTCTAATAGCATGGAACTTTGCATATCTAGTATATTTTCATTAGCAATACCTTTAGACAGAACACAGCGGAAGGTTAAATTTTATAACGATTGTGTATTTATTTGGATCTGTATTAGAACAAAAGGTAGGATTAGCCATCCATTGATTTCCTCCAGCTTTGCTGCTATCTCACTTGCCTTCAGATAGTTATCTTGGATTGCTTTGGAAGGCTCTTCAGTATTTTCCAGAACTGCTCTTGAGCCTGAATAACAACACTGAATGGAAAACACTGTTGAAAATCCTCCAGTGGCACATAAAAGGAAACTCAAACTCCTGGGACTTGGAAGCTCCTCCCTCATTTTGCCCTTTGTCACACTGAAGTTTTAGACCCAGATCTCCCAGTTGCCTTACCTTTCTCCCAGCCATACCAGCGTCCTGATCTTTCTTGTAGAAGGCAGACTCATTGCAGGGCCGTTAACTCTCCTGGTCTTATTGCCAGGCCTTGGGCTTGCACTGAAGTCTCCCCTTGAATACCTCCACTTCCAAAGGCCACATCTCCTTCTTTCTTGCCTACCTTACTTGCCTTCATAGCACTTAGATGAAGTTGGATTACCAAAGGATCATACCATTTACTTCTTTACCTACTTTCTTCTCCATTAAGTGAAAAGTCTTTTAGACAAGGACTTTGTTCTGCTTATTCAGAGCTGTTTTTCAAATACAATACAAAATATGTGCTCAACAAATGATTAAACTATCAACGATGATTCTATTTGCTTATAATGCTAAAAGATTTGTAAAGAAAAATGCTGAGGAAATTTGAAGGCCACTGTTAAAATATGAAATTCCATATATGGAGGCAGTGATTGGGTAGATTTCAGGGAAGTCGTGTCTGTCATTGCTGCAATAGTGGACACCTAAAATAGACAAATCATGGTTCAAGGACCATGTTTGGGTAAAAAGGGAAATCTGATCTCAAAAATAACTAGCAAAACCAGAGCTAGAGGCATGGTGCATACCAGCCTAGCAAGCACAAGGCCCTGAGTTCAAACCTCTTAACACTGAAAGAAAAAGACAGAGAGATATAGAGAGACAGAGAGAAAAAAATGCAAGCTCAGATAGTATGATGAAGCTTAAAAATTTAGAGGAATTTTTCTCATTTGAACAGTACTATATCCATAAGACATAATTGTTTGTAGCATTTTATATATTTACTATGTTCATTAAGATTCATACCTAAAATTAGCTCTACTGAAGACACCGATATACCAGTGTCTATTTAGGAGATTAGCACAAAGGTCAAGTTTGTGCCTGCAGTTTGAGTTAACTAACATCATTAAACAAACTGAGGAATGTTATACTCCTTTCCAAATTTCTCAAAGCCAATAATACAACCAGTGATGTATAGATCAGTGTGAAACATTTTTCTTTGTTACTATTTTTTTATTGTGAAAATACTGTACAGAAGGGTTACAATTACATGGGCAAGATAATGGGTACATTTCTTATCAAGCATTGTAGCCTCCTCCTTTGTTTCCCCTTCCCATCCCTTTCCATCCTTCCCCCATCCCCCCCACCCAATCCTCCTCGCCCCCTCCCACCACCAAAATTGTAAAGTTCGTTTTTGACATAACGACTTGTATATCTCATTGCTGCAATGGTTCTTTGTTACTATTTTTATCTGATTTGGAAATTGACCACTGGTTAGTAACACTGTTCTGTTCATTATACTGTGTATGAAGGTCACCCTCTCCTGGTATATAGTCAACTTCCATTTGTTCAGTAATTGTAGCTGATGGAGCCCTGCTAAGAAACCCAGGTCTACAAAGAAACTATTCTTTATCCCATTGTTTTTACTGTTAACTCAATCATAGAACCCGAGTTATGGACTGGAGCTGGAATTCTAGGAAATATTGGAAGTACCCTATATAATTCTATTTCTTAAAAAGTAGCCCATAGAGGGGCTGGGAAGGTGGCTCAGTGGTAGAGCACTTGCCTTGCATGCCAGAGGCCCTGGGTTCGATTCCTCAGCACCACATAAGCAAAAAGAAAAAAGCCGGAAGTGGCACTGTGGCTCAAGTGGTAGAGCGCTTGCCTTGAGCTGAAGAGCTGAGGGACAGCGCCCAGGCCTAGAGTTCAGACCCCATGACCGGACCCCCCCCCAAAAAAAAAGTAGCCCATAGAGGAGAGAAAAATGCACCACCAAGAATTTACTTGTCTTCCCTCTGCTGGGATGGACCTACTGAGTAGGTCTGTACCACTCAATTGTACCCACCCCTGCCCCCAGCAGCTCACCTTTGATACTGAATGTGTTCACTGATTTTTATCACTGAGCATCTAGAGAAAGGAGAATGCTGAAAATTAAGCTGATTGCCTAGGGGATTTTGAACTGTCAATCCATAATTGCTCTTCTGTCTGGATTACAGGGGACTGGCCATTGTTCAGCTATCATCACTGCTGCAAGAGGAGCCTCTGTTAGCCAGGATAAGAGTTGCTTTTCATCATGCTTGTAGTGAGCATGTTCCACTCAAAATACCAATAATTCAATCTCTCACCAGGAGGAGCAAACAGAGCTTGAAGGTTCATGCATTTTAAATGTGGGGGGAGAAACAAGACATGGGATGTAAGCTAAGAAAGTCAATGGCTTACCAGAGCTCTGCTGAGCACAGCATCATGTTTCTGCTTTGGGGACATGGTGTTGAAACACAAGATCCTTTGGAAATGAGGGGTGTTTCTATACAATTTGTTTGAGTCATGAAGTGGACAAAAAGGAGAATGCTTTGGACTGTGTGGTCTTGCTCTGAAGTTCCCATTGGCAGGAGGGCAGAGGACCCTTGCGGAGGCTACTGGACCTGAAAATGAAGGCCAGAGTGGGTAGATTCTGGGAATTGAAGCAGTTTACAGGCCTCACTCACTTTCAAAGGTTCCTACACATTTTCTTCTTGGGATTACTTGGAATAGGTGAACTTAAGTGGCCTCTATTTCCTCCTTCCTTCCTTCTCTCTCTCCTTCCTCTTTTTCATTCCTCCCTCCTTCCCTCCCTCCCTCCCTCACTCCCTCCTTTCTTCTTTTCTTCCTGTATAATTAGTACTTACAAGCACTTGCTACATGCTTTTCTGGGGCTGGGCATGAAACCACAGTGTTGAATAAAATGTCAAAAATCCGTGTACTCAAGGAAAGAAAATGCCTTTTTTGTTCTCTCTCTCTCTCTCTCTCTCTCATCTCCCTCTCACACTTTTAAAAGATGAAATAAGTTAGATGTGACAAATATTATGGAGAAATAAAGAACAAATGAGAGACAAAGGATAGAAAGGAGGATGGCTCGCAGGCAAGTCACCATTTGAGATAAGATCTAAGGAGCTGAATGGATCTGCCACATGGGTTTGAGGCCAGAGGGAGATCTGAGCAGAAGGAGAAGCATGTGAGAAGATCTTGAGGCAGAATCCATGTTTGATATGTTTTGGAAAATAGCAAACAAGCTTATGTAACTGGATAGCAGTTTTTGCAGATTTTTTGGTTGTAAGAGTACTTTTTGATACTGATTTTTAAAAATTGTGTTAAACATTGAATTCAGGACCCAGTATATGCTAGACAAGTACTGTACACCCTTAGCTTAATGGAGGATGTCATTTACTTTTAGCTTATGATTGTGTCCTGAGATATTAAGTCTAAAGGCTACAAATCATATTTTAAGTGAACTCAATTAAAATTGCAAATTACATCATCTATTTTGATCTCTGTAGATATATAAAAGAGAAAGTATTACTTTAATATTTCTAGATCTGATATAACCTAATTTGTAGGTTACTAGACAATTCTTCATTAAGAAAACAATTTTAGGTACAAGATACAATTTTAGGTACAAGATAAATGGAAACTGATTCTTTAAAACATACTACTAGGCTTTTAAAACATATCACTAGGGCCTGGAGCAGTGGCTCTCTTTTTTAATCCCAGCTATTTGGGAGATGTAGTTGAAAGCCAGCCTGGACTGAGGAGATTTAGTGAGACTTCATCTTAATAATTTGAATGTGGTAATGTGTATCTGTGGTCCCAACTATATAGAGGCTATAAGTAGAAGAATTATAATCTGAAGTCAGCCTGGAGAAAAAAAATGAAATACTACCTGAAAAAATAAATAAAGTAAAGCTAACATCCATCATAAAAGCAAAATAAAATGATATACCACCACTTTTTTACATTAGCATGCTATTGATCTTTTTAAGGTTGTTACTAGGGAAGCTAGATACATATTTTAGCAAACAGCCTTTGCTCAAAATATTTTGAAACTCTTATTTTCAAAAATTGGAAGATTGAAATAAAACTTTGTTATCACTCTGCTTTGGGTTACAAACTTGGTTCTGGAAACCCTC